GAGGACCCTCCCCGGCTTTCCGCAGGGGAACGAAGGCGTCTGCGCTGCGCTATTGCACGGCCCGGTGCTCCGGGAAGGGGGGCTGGGGAGGTGGCCGCAGACCAGGCTCAGGGAGGCTTTCCCGAGGAGACCGGGGAAACCGCAGGCACCGTCGGGGAACTGGCACCTGCCCGCACCCATCTCCCTCCCCAAAGGAAAGGTCTGGGAACCCGGACTCGAGCCGAGACGCTCCCAGGGGGTCGATCTCCTTGCACGAGGACCGTCGCTGAAGCGCAGGGCTAGGGTATTCCGTGTCGTGCCGCCCCGTCCCCCCTTTACCGTTTTCCCCGTTAAAAACAAAACTTGTCGTTGAGGTGTAATCTTAAAAGCACACCATGACCCCTGTAGCGGGTCTGCAGCAAAGTAAGGCGCCTCAAAGTGCTCGGGCAGTTCCGGGGCTGGGGAGAGAAGGAAGAGGGTCTGGGGTGAAGGGATGGAAACCCGGCGTTTCCCAAAGGGTTCCCGACGCCACCTGCTGTTCTTTCTCCTCGAGCCTAACGGGGACTGTCGCTTGCATTTACAGCACCCAAGGTCTGCGATGCCTGCAAAAACAAAAATGAAGATGATAATGACATCGTGGAAAACCTCTGCAAAAATGACTTTGGTAAGTGGAAGCAGAGCTCTTCTCTGTTGAAACTTGAGAGTCGAGGATCAGGTACAACTCCCAGTGGAATCAGTGAGAGATGTGCCTGGATAAAGGCAGGGCTTTTTCTGTTGGGTCATGAAACTCAAATTTTCACCTTGGAATAAAAAGTAGCCCTTTTTATAGTTCTTTTCTCTTTACTGTTTGAAGTAGTGCTGGTTTATGTGGAAGTTACTGGCAAGCCTAATAGAAAATAAAGTGAAAAAAGAATCTTTCATGCAGACTATTGCCTGGAGAGAGGTAGAGCAATGCTTCATTTAGACGTTTGAGACAGAGCCACATGGCCCATGATTTCTCACGTGTCATAAGAAAGACTCTCACCACAGATTAGGAATGAAGCTTTATATATCATTTGACAGAGAAAGTAACGCACAGGCAATTGGGGATATTAACTTAATGGGAAGATCTGGGGTTAGAGGAGGACAAGAAAGCCCCTTCAACACAGACAACTGAAGGGCACATTATCCACACATTAGCATTTCAAGAGTAAAAGGGAATAAGGAGGGGAATCCTTTTACAATAGGTCAATGTTTATACCTGCAAACAGATTTCTAGTATAAGTATCTGTAACAATTCAAAAGTCTTTCTTAAAAAGAAAAAAACACCAAAAACCTGAAACCATGAATGCGGGACATAATTGCTAAAATAACCAATAGCTTTGGACTGGCAAATTGCACTCAGATAAATCCTCCTAAAGCTAAACATGCCCCACAGATTCTTACAGAGCCCTGTATCCCCCTCCTAGTTATTTTACCAAATCGAATGCAGCTGTTGGACCAATTTACCCTCCATGGGATCTATTCTTTAAAAAAAACAATGCATGTGAAATATCATTTCCTTACAGGTTTGCCTAAAATCCTCTCCAGCCTAATAAATTAAGTGTAGAAGTTTTGAGCTGCAGCAGAGATCAGGTTTCAGATTAGGGCTAGGTACTTGCCTCTCCACCTCCCCTTCAACTGCTACTTTGAGGAAGGCTGTCCTCTCCCAGCAAAAAAAAAAAAAAAAAAAAAGGAGCTCCGCTTAAGGTAGCAAACCTGCTCTCTCTCTGTTTGCAAACAGGAGACAGTCTGCAGAAAATATTAATTTAGAAAGCAAGGGAAAAGAGGGGGAGGGGGAAGAGGAGAAAAGGAATCAAAAACCCCTCAACCCTAAGGTTGATTCAAACTGAAATGACTTGCATGCCCTTTGTGGCTTTAGAAATGGAGCCACCTGCTGCCTCTTCTGTCAGCCCTGACAGTTTAATTAGCAATAGAGCACCTCCCTCCCCAGGTCCTCTTTATGTGCACTAATGGGAAAAAAACCTCTCAATCTCTCTCCCTCTCCCCACTTCCCCCTCCCCTCGCTCTATTAGCCTTGAAGATAAAAGTGAAGGAGATTGCCTACATCAATGGGGATACCAAGATCACCCCCGAAACAAAGAGCAAAACCATCTACAAGCTGAATGGTCTGACAGAAAGGGATCTGAGGAAGATAGTGCTCTGGCTTAAAGGTGGCCTTCAGTGTACCTGTGATGAGATGAACGACATCAATGTCCCCTACTTGGTGATGGGGCAGAAGCAAGCTGGGGAACTAGTGATCACCTCGCTGAAGCGGTGGCAGAAAGGGCAACGGGCTTTCAAGCGGTTCTCCCGCAGCATCCGCAAACTGCAGTGTTAGTGGCCTCTCTGGCTGTCTCCAGCAGCTGCCTCTGTCCCAAGCTCTCTGGGTCTACCGCACCTTCCTGCCTTGGCCCCTCTGAACCTTGAGATGCCGTGGGCACGAGACATGGTGACCGCTTTCCAAGAGGGGAGGAACTCCTCCATTTTTGTACATAGGTTAAAATGGAATTAAAAAAAATCATGTCTATTTTTGGGAAGCATTAAAGTATCTCGCTTAAAGCTTGGGGTTTTTATGGTTGCAAACATGACTTTGGTCTGAGGTTTTTCCCTCTTCATTTTGCTAATGCTGGCTCATTTATATTGCTGCTTCTCTGTATACATGCATGTTTGTTGTGCAAAAGTAGGAGATGCAGAGAAAGACAGCCACATGTGCTACTGGCCTGTAACAGTGGGTATGACTCTTTCACTGGGGTGAAATAGCTTGCTGCCTATATTAACAGTATAAAGATCACACTACGACTCTTGCATGTGATACATAGGCACCAGTAAGAGCATATTAACCATTCTCACATTTTCTTTTCTGCAAGTCTGAACCTTTCTCTCTGAGAAAAAAAAATGAACAAGTTTTGAAGTTGGTTGATCTGAATGCAACTTTATCATCATTATTATTATTATTATTTTGCAAATTAAACCATCTGTAGCCTAACTGTAATATACCTAGTGGTTAACCTGAAAGAGTTGTAAAATATTGCTTTAATTAACCTTGTAAATACTCCAGATAAATGTTATATTCTTGTATATAAACTTTACATCATAGTTTACCCATTGTCTCTATCTATATTCACTTCGATCCATTTTGGGAGAACTGGGAGAAAGCTGTCCAACTGGGCTTCATCATGGCAAAGCAAAATTTGGCCTTCTACTCCAAGTGGCCAGTAGCAAACCACGAGGAAGCCTCTAGTGCTGAAATTAAAAAAACATAGTGGACCTCATGTCCCCGAAGATGACCCCAGGAGACACAGGACTGAGGTTCAGTCAACTCATTTTAATATGTGTCTGTTGAGCTCTTTGAGAAGAGGCTTCTTTTCTGTGGCTCCTTTGTTTAACCGCCTGCATTATCATCTCGTTTCCTCAGAGGACTCTGCTGATGTGGAATTGCAATGAGACCACTTTTTAAAAAATCAAAGCCATTTAACCATTTGTTGAAAAAGACATATTAAAGAGTGCAAGAGCAGACAGAAAAATGTCATTTGCAATTTGCTATTCAGAATAATGGTAAAGCAAGGCATTTTTTGTGTGTATGTACATTCACTAATTTTGCTGAGAAAGAAAATAAAACCTACCTAATAGTGTAACTAAATGAATGTTTTTCAGCATTTTTCTTACAAATGTTTTCTGATGAAGAGTATTACCTGCTAGAATTTTATTGTATTTATCCTGATAAATAATCTTGCTTTCCAGTGCTGTTACACATAGAAAATTCTTAGCTTCACTGAGAGGATGAGCAGTCCCATATTCCCAAGGACAACATTTTATGTTAACTTGTCACAGGCAGAATACAAATTCAACAGTAGGTATTTCTTTACAGTTAAAAAAACATATTATTTTCTTTTATTTTGTGGGTTTTTTCAACATCAGGATTAAAATACAAAATCTAAAGATCAAACATGGTACATTATTTTAGAAAAATTGTTTGCCCTCTCTCACAGTTTTAATGCACTCACTACACCTGGTACAAACACTGGTAGGATGTTGACCAAGCAAGAAAAGAGCAATCCTCACAAATGTCCTCAAAAGTATAACAATTTAAAAAACAACCAGAAGTAACAAACCACCAAACAAAAAGCCCAGGTATCTGTATTTGAAGGCTCATACATTGCTGAAGTGTCATTAAAACTTTTCTTCTGAATGAACCTGACTTACCAGGAAACAGATTTGATTCTTTTCATGCTTGGTGTAATTATTTTAATATCAGCACTATGTCCATCAACTTACAGAGCCATTAGCCTTCAGGTGTCTTATTGTGCTACCCATCCCAATCAGCATATAATGTAACACCTGCACCTGAACAGCTTTGGTTTTAGAGGGAACAGGCTCACATAAAGAGGAACTGGCTGAAGATGAACCTGCAGAAAATGAACATGTGCACCTAGTGGAGGAGAGCACTTTGAAGAGACAGCTGTTGCAATCCAGTCTCTGGAGACCAAAAATGAACAGCTCAGGACTGCTCCAAACAGTCTGCCTTGCAGATAATAAGTTCTCCTACAGCAACTATAAAATTACCTTAATTGGGCTGTCCTAGAAGGCAGCAGTACTGATGCTGATGAGGACAGACAGGTCACAGGTTACTCATTCTGCGGTCATGTTAAGGCCAAGACTATATAACAGATTTTTACCAAATCACTTAAATGTATGAATGGTTACCTATGACCAAGACTTCCCTGTCTTAAAAAAAGCCAAACCACATTTCACTTCCTCCATCACAAAATAAACACTGTTACACGAAGAAAAACCTCTTTCTGTCAGGACAAATTCAGGAGAGGAGAATAAATTAGACTGGCAAACATTCAGTTTTACTAGTATAATCAGCATCCTGGATTAAAAGCATCCTGCCATACAGCACACCCGTGCAGATAAAGCATTCTGCATGTGGCCCTTGACTAAATCCCTGGAACTATCCACCCTCAGGGTGAATTAACAGGAGTAGGATTACCTTTCAGATAAACAGGATTTAGGCAAATGTGAAGAGTAATGGGATTCACCTTTTCCCATAGTTCCATTACCTTGTTCTAACAGTATTGTATTAAAGCATGGGTCATATCTACCTCACCAAGGGGAGCAGTGCCAGTGTTTGTTAAACTGTTTCTAAAGGTGTAAAAAGCAGGCATTGCAAACTATTCAACTGAAAATTAGGATTTAAAAGTCACAACCTGAGTCATCTCTCAGATACTGGCAAAGACTTAAACACATACATTTTTACTCATACTCTTACTTGCTCAAAAATAACTGAAAATCTTTGACCATGCCAGGCAAATACTGAACCAAACATGTAACAAAAAATTATTGAAGCTGTTATTTCTCATACTTGTCACATATACTTCAGAGTAACCTTATTACCTAGTATTGGTATGGTTCACTCCTAGCAGAATGTTTTTTTGCAATTGATGAAAAAAGGCAACCCACTGTTGCATTTTTCAGACACTTCTTGTCTTTTTCTAATTAAAACAACATTGTTAGGCAGCCAATTATGTAGTTCCCATTGTATTTGCTTTCATAAAAGCTATAAAAGCAGCTGACTACAATGGATTAGTTTAAGAACAATAATAATGACACTTGACATTTATACAGAAGTTTCCATTTAAGTTTCTCAGACTGCCTTCACAAAAATAAGCATTAATATCCTTCTTTTGCAGATCAGGAAAATGAGGCACAGTGAAGAGAAATAACCCATTCAAAACCACACAGCAAGTCCTTTACAGTCAAGAAAAACAGTATCTTTCTTTGTCTCCAAGTTTTATGCTCTAATCACTAGCCCATAGCAATCAGAATGATGTATAATCAAGGCAGCATTTAGATTATAATCTGAAGGCATAACAGCAACCAAGGCTGTCTCCAACCTCTTCACCCCAAATGTGCACAAAAATGCTCAAATTCAAATTTAAAACCCATCAGCAATATGCCTCATAGTCTTTTCCTTTCTTTCTTATTTATCAATCTCTTTATCCTTTAATTACTTCTTAATCCTCTGTTTCTCCCTCACTTCTCATTCACTTCAGACACCCACAGAGAAGCCATTCAACCTCTCTCTTCCCTCTCACACAGACACTTTTGCCCTCAGTATGGTTTATTAAAGAACTTATGCAGCATAACTGCACCTAAGGCACAAAAATCCTAATTCCATTTTAATATATAAAAAGATCCATGGTGGAAATTCAGCAAGAGGCATTTAAATTTAATTAATGATTTTCTGTGAGGACAGGAGAGTGGTTATATGCCACAGGGAGCATCACAGGCACATGCTGGTTGCCTCAGGCCACTTTTGCTATTCTGCAGCAGGAGAATATAAAGTTATTTAAGGAATATGTGAGCAAGCATGAAGAACATACAGATAAAGCACACCTTTCCTTGCATGGCCAGGTCTCCCACACATCTCAGCCCTGTTGTTATAACCCTGTGTTCTCCAATCTGGGGCCATAGTGCACCTCTTTCAACCCTCTTCCAGACACCTCACTACTTCTCTTCAGCCATCAAGGTCATCAACCAAGAGCAGAGCCACCAGGACTCAAGAATGGACCACCTCATTGAACCCAGATGCCTGCAGTGGCATGAGCAACCCCCATGCAGCCAGCAGTGTAGCTAATTTTTTGCTGCTTTGGTAGCCCACTGCCATCCTCACCAAACCTACCAGCTCTGTGAACCTTTGCAATGTGGTCACAGTTGGCAATGCCAGAGGAAGGGTGATGGATTGATTGCTACCAGAGCAGTGGGCAGCCTTCCTTAGGTCAGGCAGCCCAGGCTTTTGTTATTGGAGCCAGAAGTTCTTATTTCTAGGCTTCAGAGACCTGCCTATATGATTTATCTAGAAGTTACTTTCTTATCAGGAGATATAGTTTCAGTACAGCCTGACTGTCTGGTGAAACAACCACAGGAATGGATCTTGTTTGCCTCTGTGCAAAGAGGAGAGTGCAAGATATTCACATCACAGGAATCCAAGACCCCGAGCTGTCTTACAAACATAAATTAGCTCACACTATATCCCACTGGGGTGAATTTAGTAGAGTAACATTTTCCAAATGCATCAACCACCTTCAGGGTGAACCATGGGCTCCTAAATCACCTAGATGCCTTGGAAAATATTAGCCACTATCCCCCACTGGAGTCAAAGCCAGTTGGCTGAGGTCAGCCAGCAAGCCTGTCACCCAGCCAGGAGGAACACCTCAGCAATCAGCCAGCCAGCCCATCGCTCTCACGACTGATCAAAATAACCAACCAACACAGAAAGCTGCACTCTGAAGCAGCTGATGGAGCAAACTTCAAAACGAATTACTGCACACACAGAGAAGCTGTCTGGCCAGAAAAACCAGCACAAGGTAGGTATTCTCAGTGTCATATAGGACACACACAAGAAAGATCATATATGCCTTCTAAGATCCACAATAAGGCAATACTATAAACACAGCTCTTTCAAAACCCAAGTGTTGTAGATCATCCTTTTCGAGTCATTTTCAGTCCATAAAAGTGATGCTAAAATCATTGAGAGTTTTGTGTTTGAATAA